GGCCCCAGCCCCGCCTCTGCCTCACCTACGGGCCGGTTCCCCCGAGCTGCTCTGGCTCCCCTGGGCCGAGCTCTACCCTGCCCAGCGCCCGCCCCAGAGGTTCTGCCGCGGAGCCTCCGGCAGACAGTCGGGGGGTGCCGGGCCGTGGCGCAGCCCCGCGCCGCGGGAGCGAAGCGACTGCCCCGCCTGTGACCAGCAACCGGCGTGAGGCCAAAGCCGGGGGGTGCCACCCTCCAGACAGGAGGAGGTGTCGGGCAAAGGCTGGTTCCTCCCCTCACCTAGGCAGGAAGATGCCAGGAGCTGTTCTAGTCAAATCCTTTGCTGAGCTGTCAGCTTTGTGCACTTGTACGCCCACTGACCTACGTAGAGATCGAAGGAGAGAGACCCGCGGTTAAGTCAGTCAGAAGAACCCCTCGGGCATGCCGACGCACTGGAAAGGAGCAGCTCTGGTGTGGGATCCCTACCAAGAAGTTTTAGGGAGGGAGTTAAGAGGTGTTAACTACAACGGCACCGCGTCCTCCTGCGGCTCAGGAGAGGGCGGGCACGTCTCGGCGCCACCGTGCACGCAGCGGGCCGGGAATGGGGGAGATGGCTCCCGACTGCTCCCAGGCAGGGAAGTTAACACCCCAGACCAACTCCTGCGAGAGGGATTGTCCTGCGACCACAGCTCCTCCTCGTCGTCCCGCTTCAGCAAGAAGTGAAACATTCAAAGGCAGCCACCAGCTCCCTCAGGGCTCTCCATGCATTTCAGCGGCTGAGACATTCCGAACGGCACCCGCACGCACCCCGCGGCCTCCCTTCTCGAGGGGCCGCAGCACCTCGACGCCAAGCCAGCCAGTAAGAGAGCCCAACCCTCTGACACGAGCCGCAGGAAGGTCGGCTCCGGCATCCCCCACCACCACGTTAACGCTCTTCACGTACATCTTGGCAGCGACACTTTCACCAAGTCACTTGAACGAGCACAAGGACCTCGACTCCAGACCAAAGCCATTAAACACAGAACACACAAGGAACTAGAAGCCACCGGGACCCCCGCACAGGCCAAGCAGAAGATGCAAAATGCCTCCTCGGAGACGGGCTGGGCGCTGGGACAGCGACACGATGCTCCCCCCTTGCACATGCTTGGACCGGCAGCACTGAACTTGCTCCAGGACACACGGACGGCTCCAAGGGGCGTTTCTGAGCATGCCAGAACCCAAAACATCCACAAAGCAGCACGAAGTCCTCCCCCGGCTCACGACCCTGGCCTGCACCGCAGCAGCCCGAGGCTCACCTGTTGGCGGGCGAGTTGAGGCCGCCGCTGCCCAAGGACGACGTGGACAGGGTTGTGGCGATGGAGTCGCTGTTGGCTTCGTCTACGGGCAGGGTCCTGGGCAGGAGATCTGGGCGACCAAGGTGGGAACCTGAGTTGAAGCACAGACTGTTCCATCACCAGCACAAGTGGGATCGTGTGGCACGAGCTCCCACACCAGCCTGGGGCCGGGATCCACGCTGGATCCTACCCGAGACGTTTAAGACACTGGAGCGCTGAGGAGCCAGCCCTGCAGGCAGTTCTCCGTTAGTCCAAGCCTCCACACACCTGCCTAAACCCAGCTTCTCCCCGGCACAAACCCCACAGGCACGGGCTGTCAGGCAGAGAGCAGGCACAGGGCCCTGCCACGCAGCCTCAGCCCAGCTCCCGGGGCAGCGGGGGCCACGCTGGGTGCTTGGACAAGGCTGAAAAATCCCAGGAAGAAACAACTCCCCACCTCCGCAACCCGGTCTTATCCCGCCTGCGAGTAAAGCCTGGCTTTTACTGAGGTTTATCAGCCTGCCGTGCATTTGTTGCAACAGACTACTTGGGCACAGGCGAGCGTTTGCAGGGCTGCCTGCTCCCCCCGGGCCTTCTCACGGCGCTGTCACAGGCCGGCTGGTGTCTACGAACTTTTGGCCCCGTCTGGTTTCTTGCACCCACAGCCCCAGAACCTCCCCAGCAAGGCCACAAAGCACCGTGGCGGGGCCTTGCACAGCTCAGGAGGCAGCAAGCTTCAACTAGACAAATACAAGCTGAAAAATAACTTCTCCGAGCTGCTTTTTTTTTTTAGCCCAGGCACCAACCTTGCTCTACATCCGCCTCTGTCGTTACTTGTGCTTTTGTCTCGCACGACGTGTGCGACTGGGAAGGCACTCCTCCCTGACAGCTCCGCCGAGGAACAGCCGTGCCAGAGCGGCTCTTCTTAGAGGGGGAAGGCTTCACTTCAAGACAAAAACCAAGAGAGCCCTTTTCTAACACGTCGAGGAAGGAGGAAAAGACCCGACGCAGCAACTTCCCAGCGAGCGTCTGGCGCGAGGGCTGCGCCCTGAAGGAACGAGCTGAGGGATCAAACAGCTCCTCTAAGGTCAGAACAGCCGAGGAGGAAGGAAGAGGTGACACGGCTCTGTCACGCCGCCGTCCACCTTCCCAAAGCGGGGCTGCGGGCGGGAGCCACCAGAAACCCGGCGACGGCTGCGCCGAGACACTTACGGGGGATTTTCTTGAACGCCGTGTTGCACATGAACCGCTGGAACCTTTCGGCGTAGAAGCTGGGTCTGTGCACAGAAACGGTGTCCTGGAAGTCCAAGGGACAAAACATTAACGTGCGAATCTGAATTGAGAAGCGCCCAAGGTCGAGATGAGAGGCTCAGGCCAGCAGCCTGGCCCCAGGCGCCGTCCCACTGCCAACAGAGTCGCTCTCAGGGGCAGCTCTGGGAAGCAATTAGCTACAAGCAGCAGGCAGTACAGGCAGAGCAATCAACGCTCTTTAACGAACACGGGTGACCAGCGTTAACAAAACCAACGTTTTTGAGAGCACCTGGAAATACTCATAGCTAAGAGGGCAAACACACGCCTCAGAAATCCCCGGAGGAGCAAGGACAGTGGGTGCAGCCTGACAAGAACCGGTATTATCGCTAGACAGCTTCCGAAGGGGTTAGTCTTCTGCTTACCCCATCGTGTACAAGGGCCTTCCAGGAGTGCTCCAGCTTCTTGACAAACCTGACAAAGGAAAGAATCAAGAACAGTTTTCACAGCAGGTCCCCACTGCCCGTGTGCCGCCACGCTGGCTCGGCGCCGAGCCCGGCTGGTGGCCACAGGGGCGAGCGAGCCCCAGAC